ATAAAAAATTCACTAATTAATTGTGTAACATTTGAAAAATTCGTTATAGCAAAAATCTTTACTATATCAAGGGTCATTTTATTAACACTGGTTCCAGTATTTAAATTCGAATTACGAGATACAGAAAATTTATTATAAAATTCACTATATCAAGAATTATTATTTATAAAAAAATCCGTACCTAGACTTTTCTTCATTATAGTAAGTTATTCACTATATAAAAATTCACTATAGCGAGGGTGAACTGTATATTGTTAATTTTATATACTAAATTTGAGCCACTTAATAAATTTAAAAAAATATTTTTTAATACTAATAGCCAATTTGCAATTATTTTAACTCCTTTTGTAGTATCTTTTTTGTGCAATTTATCTTGAATACAGTTGGATTTTTTACTTCAGCATCTACGTTTATGAATATGTCCACTCAATTGTTTATACTGTAACAGGTACAACAAATAAATTTTGGCTTCTTTATTTCGTTAAAAGCAAGCTTTGGTATAATTTCTTAATGCATTATAATACACCATCCCGTTACAAGATATTTGAGTATTTCGTCTATATTAATCGACCAAAATGGCTACTACATCCTTCCCCTGACTAAAGAAAGTTACAAGTTTTTGCATCCTATACATCTTTGATGTTGGACTATTGCATTTGTAAATTCTTTATAAATATTTTTTTCTTTGGGATTGTAAATGCGAATCACAAACTCCTAATTTTAAATGATCATTAGATTCTTGTTAAACTGCATCTCGACTGATCTATTTGCCATATTCCAAATAAATTTCACATTTTTCTAAGTTTGAAAGTTCCGCCACATCGTCTAATTGTATCATCAATAATTACACAAGGTGAAAGAAAGTGCATTGTATTATTTTGCTAGTAGATCCTTCATTTCATTGGTCTCTTTCTCCATATTGCTCATCATCAAAATTTTGCTCATTATTGTCTTGTTATAATTCTGCCTCAATACTACTATCATATTCGCCTATACATGCTTTCATTTCAATATATCATCACCTTTATGAGCTAGCATCACGTTTAATGCATTATTAAACCTAATGGTAAATTATTCAAAATCACTATAAGTTATATTCTTGAAGTGTCAAGATCTGACATTGTTAAAATCCAATTTTGGGCTTCTGATTGAATAGTTTGCAATTAAAACTCACGTCAGTGAAAGTAATACTTGTATTAGAATATTTCAATCGTTAGTTTTATGTTACTTATTTCGTAAAAAAGGTGTTACAATATGTAAATTAGGTGTTACCTTTGATCTGAAATTTTCTAAATTTTGGCCGGCATTGTAATTTGCCCAGAGCTAAGAAAGTTTTGGCCAGAATTACAATTTAAAGATCGTTAACCAAATGAATTAATTTTGCCGATTTTGTATTTTATTTACGCATTATACACTTTAAGACAATACTATATTAACATTTTACATTATGATATCATAGTACAAAAAATTTCACATCAATTTAGTGTGAGTGGTTGTTATTTTTTTGGTTTAAACCAAAAAAAAAAAATAAAAAAAAAGATTAAATCATTAGATAAAAAAAAAAATTATTTTCAGCATTGAACTAAGAATCAATAATATTTTTTATTGTTATTAAAAAAAAATCCCCAAAATTTTATTATATCTATTGTACTATAACAATTTATTGATATTAAAAAAAAATCCAAAAAATTTATAATATCGATCTATTGTCAAAAAATCTAACTAAAAAAAGATTATTAACGTAATAAGTCAATTGTCTATTACTTATTAGTATTAACTATTTAATGTTACCGGCGGAGAACTGAACTAAAAAAAAGTTTGCCGATTAAATCGTCATAACTATAAGAACATGGAATCAGGCGCAGACACATCCCGCATTCCATGTTCAGAATTCAGATACACAATTCAAATTATTTATACAGAGCTTAAACTAAATATCACCAAATTTTTTTAGCATATTAACAGATAGATAGTAGAAGATAGATAGATAGATACTGATCCATCAAATCAAAGAATGCAAAAAATCCAAATCAAAGAAAAACGACTCAAAAATAACAGAATACAGCATCAATAACAATAATAGTGATTTGCAAAATCATACTTCTATTGTTGTTGAAATACAAACGGTGGGATCATCTTCACCCAGGAGTGTTGTGGGACGTCAATATTGTCTTGTGATGAGTATGAATCATATGATTACACTTTGAACGAATTAAAGTTTGTTTATTAATTAATATAGTATGCCATAATAACTATGCATTTTATTTAATAAAGAAATATTAGGCAAATCTAATGATATTGAGAAACAATAAAAATAACCATCTGTATTAGAAATTAACGATGAAACTGCGATATCACAAAAACAGCAAGAAAATTCTCAATCAGTTTTACTAATTTGCCACATATATTTGAAACGTCACATAATCTTCTTGACATTTGTAGTTGGCTAGTCAAAAATCCATGAGTGCTAAATATAGCTAATGCTATGTATTGTGGCATCGTTATGTTTACCATCGTAACCATATAATTTACAATCTGGTTTACCACAAGCGATTTCTACATCTTAAATGAACCATCAAAGGCATATAAAACCATTCAAGGTATATATTATGATGTTTTAATAACCATAGATCATATATAGGAAACACTTTTAAAATGGGATAAAGAAATAAAGTGTTTATTTTTACAGACTTGATGATTTCATCCATGCTATCTTTAAAAATCTCATTTCACAGCAATCAATCCAAAACAAAATTGCGTTTTGGAGATTTCTGACATAATTTCAATGAAAGTATTTTACAGATTAAGAAAAGTGATATTTTCTTAAAAAATATAGGTAAGGCAAATCCACTGTTATTAATTAACAAAATATCATTGATTTTATTGATGAGCTGTTTAGCACCACAAATTACTAATATGTTAATTCAGTTGGTTCGAACTGCCTTTGTTCATCACTACAACCGAAGGTAAAGATATTGATGTAATAAAAGGTCTCGATAATATAACCAAAGACTTATCTGTGTGGGAACAATATTGCTAATAATTCATTAATATAAATATCATTTTTATAATACATTAATAAAATTATGTATTAATTATTCATTTAATATATTATTCTTTATTAAGCGACTTAAAAATTTAAGTTCAATGTAGTAAAAACTTGACATAAATATCGTTACAATGTGTCCAAATTGCCCTATTAAACTTACTTAGATTTGTATAGTTAGAGGAAACAGTTCGTTAATGCAACTACCAAATTTTTCACATAATTCTATAAAAGTTTTCGCAATACTTATCGTTTTAATATATTTTATCAAAGGTTTCATTTGGGAAATTTCTAATATAAATTTTTTAATTCGTGTTATAATATCAAATAAATCTTGTAAATGTAAATAATTTTTAATATTAAAAAAATCTTCTCTATCTTCACTATATTCTTTAAGACTTCGTATGGCTGATTCTGCAGCATGGACTTGTTTTTTTAATATGTCACAAATTTGTTTTCTATGTCTAGAAGCTCCTGCTACTAATTCGATGATTTCATTAAAAATATTTCCAATTTCATTAATTAAAGAAATAAATTTTGGAACTGGGGCATTGACAGCATTGACTAGTATAAAAATAATTAAATTATTAATAATAAAAATCGTTGTTATTAATCAATATAATTAATATTAAACTTACTTGGATTTGGATAATTAGAAGGAATAGATAAATCATCATTATCATTATTTTTTGAATTACTTTTGACATCAATATGATTGTGCACATTATGTTGCGGAGATTGTGCATCCTCAATTTTTAAATGAATTAAAATTTCATGTACTTCTTCATTATTTTTTGAATTACTTTTGACATCAATATGATTGTGTACATTATGTTGCGGAGATTGTGCATCCTCAATTTTTAAATGAATTAAAATTTCATGTACTTCTTCAATATCGGGTCTTAATTTTGGATCGTCATCCCAACATATTTGATAAAGTCTTTGATACTTTAGAGGTGTACCTTCAATTGGATTTTCTCTATTACCATCTTTAATATGATCGGTAAGTAACTTTTGTGGATANAATTACTTTTGACATCAATATGATTGTGTACATTATGTTGCGGAGATTGTGCATCCTCAATTTTTAAATGAATTAAAATTTCATGTACTTCTTCAATATCGGGTCTTAATTTTGGATCGTCATCCCAACATATTTGATAAAGTCTTTGATACTTTAGAGGTGTACCTTCAATTGGATTTTCTCTATTACCATCTTTAATATGATCGGTAAGTAACTTTTGTGGATAGCCAGAAAAAGGACGATGGCCACTTGATATTTCCCATAATAAAATACCTAAACTATAGATATCGGACTTCTTATCTTTTTTATAGTTGATAATTTTAAAACATTGTGGTTCAATATATTCAACCACCCCATATCTATTACCCACTGAATCAGTTGTAACTTCCGCCAACTTTTTAGATAATCCAAAGTCAGCAATTATTAAGTTTCCATTATTTACCAATATATTTTTTGAGTGCTACAAAATAATGACAGTATTAATTTAAATTATCGAAACCAAAATCACGAATGAAATACTATTAAGTAAATACTCCTTTACCAAGTCTCTATGGATTATTTCTTTGAAATGTAAAAATTTCAGACCATCGGTAATATCCAATGCCATTCGAATTTTATCATTCCATTTCAAGGAAGCAAAATTTTTGTTCAAATAACCTTTTAAATTTCCTTCGTTAGCATATTCCAACACCAAAATATTATACTTGGGATCTATTAATTATAAATATAAATAAGTTAGATTAAACTGTATAAATAAATTATTATTAAAAAATAATCTTAACATAAACCTTTTGTTATTCCCAGACAACGATTGATGTTTGGATGATTACCAACTTCGTAAAGGAGTTTCAACTAAAAAAAAATATGATAAAAAACAAAATTTTAAATTTTATTTTTATATACTGTACAACATAAAAATTATGGTAAAAAACAAAATTAATTTTATTTATATATACTGTACAACATAAAAAATGATTTCTACCTCCTTTACAAACTCATCATTAAACTCATCATGTTCCTCCTCTGAATTTTCATTACAAATAATTTTTAATGCGACTAATCCCGTATTAGCCAAATCTGCTTTATTCACTATACCAAAACTTCCTCTACCAATTATAGTGATTTGACTAAATTTATCTAGTTCAAAATAACGGATATATCCATTTTTAATCTTTTCTTTAACCCATTCTTTTACCGAAGTCATTTTATTATTTATGTTTATTTTGTGTTATCATATATTTTTTTTTTTTTTTTTTTTTAGTTCAATATCGAAAAATAGATTTTTTTTAATCATTTTTTTTTTGGTTTGGTTTTAGTTCAATAATTTTTTCATCATTTACCTCGCTTATTTAATAAATCAATTGTGTAAATATCATAACCGATAATCACTAACTTTTTCCAAATAAAGAGTATTAACTGAACTTCTGAATAATAAGAAGCTTATAATTAAATTAAAACTTTCTGATGCACTCGCCCAAAAATTTTTGAGAAATAAAATCGGGAAAAAATTCTCTACCACTCTTAATAAATATAGAAAAGCCATATTAGACGTGAAAAGTGTTTAGCGACATATTTTATAACGAAACAAGAACTTTTATTAACAAATTTTTTCGAAATATTGAAAGTTTATTATTAGTACGAGCGCTTGAAAGTAAAATAGAAAAAGTTTATGGTATAACTTCAAAGTCTCCTAAATTTTTCCAAAACATAAGTCGAGATACTAGGTTGAATATCGAAACAATAGAGAAGAATTGTATGTAAACTATATCGAAAAGATGTTGAAACTATAGAAAGACAAATTCAAGGCTCTGTGAGGCGCAGTAAAATGAAAGGATAATAACATATGACCTTGGCAGTTTCGTAGGACTGAAGTAATAATTATAAATTATAAAAATTTTTTTTTTTCTTGTAATTTGACTGCGCAATAAATAAAATGTAATTTTATAAAACTCGTTGCTTAGCATCGAGAACTTTTTTATATAAAACAATCTACTAAGTGTGACGGTATGAGTGAAAATTTGTAGTTACCGACAGGGTTAAATTATCGTCAATCAAATTTACCGACACAGATAGGTGGTTGGCACAGCAAAATTATCAAAAAAATTATTAAACACAAAACATACAGTACTTCGCAACTACTATACATTTATTAATTTATTCTGTTTAATATTTATGAATTAACTGTTAATGCAGTAATGCTTTAATTGTGGCTAAAATTTATTATAAATATATTAAATTATATTGTTCATATTGTATTATTATGTTGTATTTACATCATTGATTATTTTTTATCAAAGTCTAAAAAAAACAGTCAGCAATTTGATTGTCGGTAATTGTTTGTCCCTTCGGTAATTTGACTGTCGATAATTTTATATATATCCAGACTCATTTTTTTTTTAACAAAAATTTTAAAATTTTGTCATGGTTAACATCAAATCAATATTTGTTAACATATTTATAAAATTTTGCGATCAGTATTTTTTAACTCTAATATCCTAAATAATTATAAATTCGAAAATTATACCCACAAATAAACAAACAGCATTGAAAGCAACAATTTTCTGAATATCTATCAATCAATTTTTTTTTCTTTCCCTCCTTTATGCTTTTCAGATATGTTAAGCTATATTCTTTTAAGTTTTTGGCGTAAGATGATTTTTGTCATTTTTTTTTTTATATAATTTCTTTAAAAATTTAGCCTTTAAAAACAATATTTTTTTCTCAACATAAGAGTTTAATTATTGGGAATTGAGATGTCATTAATTTCATTGTCAGTAATTTAAATGTCGGTAATGTGACCGGGTCCCAAAAATTAATTTATGTAAATGAAAATTTTTTAATTTATTCATCATTCATACTCGTATTACGTGACTTTATAGAAAAAAATTATATAAAAACAAATTTTAATAAATATAATTTTAAAAGGAACATAGTATGGTATGAGTATTTTTTTTCTGCCCTGCAATTTTACTTAAAGCGTCAAAGTTGGTTTTTAATGTCAATTTTGACTTATTTAACAGATTTTGGTTTTCTTCTGTTTCACGCTAAAATTTAATTCTGCCCAACATTAAATGATCAGCATAGAAAATTATATTTTTTGGAAACCTGTGTACAAACACAGATAGAAATCGTTCATTATAAATCTATTTTTAATGATTAATTTAAGTGATGTCAAATTTTTTTTATATATTATAGAATAAAAACTTATATTATTTTGCGTTTATTTTCTCAACAACTAGTGATCAAGATTAAATTAAGATTAGAATTTATATATTCGTTATTAACGAATGATATTTTTAAGACTGTAACAAAAAAGAATTATAAACTAACAATAATTTTATTTTATAAATATGTTAAATAGTAATTTAATGCATTTTATACATTCATTTTTGTAAGAAATGCAATTACTTCTTTTTATTTAAATCACATGAACGGCAAATTTTATCATTACTTTTAAAGGAATTTCTCAACGCAGATCAGTGCATCGGAAAAATTATGGCCCGCAAATATTTTTTTATTGTAACTTCTACTTTTGGTTATCAGTATTCCTTTTAAGTAACTCATTCATGAAAGTTTTCGTATAAAAAACATTTGTCTAGAAAAATAATAATTTTTTTAGTAAAACAAATTTCTAAAATAAAAACAAATGGAAACCAAATTCAGTAAATCTAATACCTCAGTTACTGATATAGTAAATACCAAAAATTGTTTATATTGTAATAAACCCTTTACTGAAGAATTATGGTGTAAAGAATGTATTAATTCTTTAGAAAAATCAGCAGAAAATGGTAATAAAGTAGTGATGTTTAATTTAGCCAAAAGGTATTACAATGGGGAAGGAACAGAAAAGAATTTAGAAAAAGCCTTCTATTGGTATCAAAAAGCAGCAGAAAATGGGTTCACTGATTCAATGCATGATCTAGCCAATAGATATTATAGTGGAGAAGGAACAGAAAAGAATTTAGAAAAAGCCTTTAATTGGTATCAAAAAGCAGCAGAAAATGGTTTCACTAAAGCAATGCATAATTTAGCAAGTAGATATTATAGTGGAGAAGGAACAGAAAAGAATTTAGAAAAAGCCTTTTATTGGTATCAAAAAGCAGCAGAA